TATATATATATATATATATATAATGTGTTCGAATATTTATGCTTGTATCCATACCTGAACAGGTTTGGCACCCTCCTCGACCTTGTCTACCCACAGTTCTCCGTACAATCCCACCCACAGCACTGCATCCATAGTACTCGCAGGAAACACATGGCACACAGTGGCCTTGTCATCGACACTCTGCGTGATCCTCATGTAATTAGATACACTCAGAGAAGACACGGGCGACTATGTAGTGATATGACTCGTGGGATATATATATGTGCACAAGGAACGATGTACCGGTGTACAGTAGCATGTATGGTGATGATCAAAAGAACTTGGGAGAAAAGGCTGATTTAAAACGTATTGGAGTGGTATGGGCTAGAACTTTGGGTGCGGCACTATTCCAATGGATGTCCCCCACTCAGTGAGACACAAAAGTCTGTGCAGTGATGTGTTATATGAGACATATCAGTACAGAACGCAACGAACGATGTAACAGAGTACAACAGCATGTACGGTGGCGGCCAGATAATCTCTGAAGAGAAGACCTATCCGGGAACGTATTGGACAGATATGAGTCAGGAGCTAGATGACCCCTGAAGAGAAGACCGATCCGTGAACGTAATGAAGAGATATGAGTCAGGATGTTGGGTGCGCAAACTGTGCCTATGGCTGGACCTCGATATAGAGTTGTGATGTCTTTACGTTTACGTTTATCCATCAATCACATCCGTTGGTGTGTATACCGTATGTCGTGCTGAGCAAGCCCACATCATCACTTGCGCCTACTACGACAACGTTGAACGTGATACACGAATTTACTGGTGATAACTCACAGACTGCAAGGCACTCTACAGGGCCCAGAAGTTTACGTTAGCTGCAAATGAATGTGTGCATGCCTAGTACTGGTACCTGCGTGCTCATGTAAGCGATGTATATAACTCGAAGTGGCGTGAATCCCTTCCCACCCTCGAAGCTATACCAATCAAACTTGTTCAGTCAAGTCTACCAGCATACATAGGTACCAGCCATGTCCCAACCACTAACATCTCCTACTACCACACCCCATGCACACCCCTGGTACGGTCACAGTCTCTCCTACTACCACACCCCATACACACCCCGGTGCGGTCACAATCTCATTACGGGACTCTTGGAGCGCCATAGGCTCGAGGGTGTTGAGATAGAAGTTGATGTTCTTAATCTGCCCACAGATGCTTGCCAGGTACTCTTCCCCAGTAGATCATCGTAATTACCATGGTTACTGAAACCCCTCGCCTGCACGGCTGCCTTGGCCCATTGGAGACCGTCGCGCATGAGGTTCTCGCGGGTTTGCCTGAGCATCTGTTGCCAGAGATTGACGCGTGTGCACACACACAGCCAGGTGGGTGAGAAGATGAACAAACAACCACAGCAGGCATTCGGTGATGAGGACATGTTATATAGTTAGTTTCATACTTACAATTAAGATGGTTAAGCGTGTGCACGAAGGCAATCGAAGTGGTGCGCACACTGACAGGGGAATCACAGGGACTATCTTTCAATAAGTGTGGTTCGTATTGCCTCAGTGAGCACTTTCATGAACACACACACACACCGGGTGAGCAGACCACACTCGCCGGTTAAAAGAAACATCTCTAATCATGCCTTGTTGACGACCACGCAAGCGTTTACAATGACACAGTGTGTGCGGGTATACATTGATATAAAACACAAAATTGGACCCAGTATTGTCTGTTTAAGTAGCAAGCCACATGGCGGCCAAGAGAAGTGCAGGTGCAGAGTCAATATACTATTGACACGAGCAATTGCCTTGTAGAGAGCCCGTCTTGACAACTAAAGAAGTATTCCTGCATGCACTACGACGGATGAAAGTATAGTGATATACATCGTTGTAATAGCTACGCAAAAAGACAAACATATACACACATATTGTAGACAATGGCGTTATGATATATACATGTATATATATATATA